CAAAGGCTTTGCTGAAGTCCAGGTACACAACATCCACAGCCGTTCTCACATTCACCAGGTGGGTCACCTGGTCATAAAAGGAGACCAGGTTGGTCAAACACGACCTACCCCTCCTAAACCTATGCTGGCTGGGTCTGGTACCCTGGCCATCCTGTAAGTACTGCCTATATATATCTAGTTAAAGCATTCTCTTCTGTTTTAAAACAATTGACATGTACTGTTTTCACTAGACCAATTTGAAAGCCTGAAAAAGGCACAAAGGCCAGTTAGTATATTTTAATGGCAGTTTTCAGAAAATTACTGATTTACACTTAATAAGAGACTAAATCACATTAAAAAAAGGCGGGTGCAAAGTCATAGTCACATGAATCACAAAGAGAAAATGCAGGGCTTTTTGAGGTTTTCTTCAAGCCCCAATTCTGCCCCTGAAGTCATATTTCATTTCATCATTGTATTTAAAATATGATAACATCTTCCTTTGTTCAGATTACATTTTATAAAATATGTAGAAAAGAATTCTCATTCATAATACTCTGTGAACAGAAGTCTTAGTTAAAATATTTAAAACTTTTTGCATGTAATATCTAACTGGAGGCTAGACTGCAAATGGAAATGTGTCTTAAGAGTCTGTTATAACATTTAATTCTTCACAGATCCCATTAAAAATCCTCTGTCATGCTGCCTCAAGGAATATGCACTGTATAACTCATCAGACAAAAGTCATGGCAAGCCATCCTTTATTGCATAGAATAATAACAATGCATATTTGTATAAATAGCCAAGCCATTTCTGCTGAAGATATTAAATGATGTTGGCCATAATTCTCAAAATATGAGATTAAAACACAATTCAGCTGATCCAGAACAAAAAGTAGTTTTCATCACCTGTTATGTCTGTGTTTTTTCCTTGGTAAAATGAAGTTGATTAATCCTGACTCAATTTAAGACCTTTAATTCCTACAAGAACTCCTGGGGTTTTTTGTTTGTTTGTTTGTTTGTTTGTTGTTTTGTTTTTTGGGAGGTTTTTTTTTTTTTTTTTTACAAAGCATGATAAAATCAGTCTGAGTCTTTCACGTGATTCCAGAATCTAGAAGTCGGATATTTTCTCCTTCTGTAATGCAAGCATGGATTGTTGCATTGATTCATAAAGGACATTTCATCCCTGATGTTGTAGTATGTGCTGTGAGATATCTAGCAATCTATATGAAACTCAGAAAATTGATGTCAATTCCTATAACTTAATTCCTTGGTTTTGAAATTAATCTTGTACCTAAAATGTATTGGTTTATAATGTTTGTTAATTACATTGCTAATAATCTCATTTGGTAATGTCTTGTGTCACTGATTTTTCATGGCAGAAGTCCTTTACCTGATCAAGGTCCATACAGGAACACTGCCTGCATCAGAAACCGATGCAGATGTATTTATCACAGTATTTGGAGAGTGGGGAGACTCCTGCAAAAGGAGACTAGGGCGCTCGCATTTTGAAAAAGGACAGGTTAGTACTGAGTCATTTTCCTTTCATGTTTGTTTGTATTTAATTTTATTATTTTCTAATACCATATTTCTTTCCAATTATGAAATATCAGCATGGATGTTGCACTCTGGTAACCTGTGGAAACAATGTGTTGCTTAATAAGTACACGTATTTTACCTGAATTGAGATTACAGTTTAATAGTTTGAGTACCAATAAATTTAAAATCCACAAACTATCAATAAATGTTCTTAGAATCTGGAACTGAATCCAATGATATATGAAATTCTATGGCTTAATTTTCAACTATTTGTGAAGCTAGTACAGAAATGCAAGGGCTCTTTCCTGTGACTGCCTCATTATTTTTTTTTTAATCTGCCCAGATAGAGAAAGAAAGATTTTAAATATGTTAGCTACCATATGTTAATTAATCAATTTATTTGTAGAATTGCAAACAGGTAAGCCTGCTTGTAAACATAATTGTTTGCTCAAGATAAATTCTAAGAGAGATTTTCTGGTCAACCTTTGCTTATTACCATATTAATGATTATACGTACACAACTTGTTCACCCATATCCTGAACTCGGAGCACCTGATCAATTCATCCTGTACAATAAAGCAGAATCCTCTGTATGTTTTCATACTGTTTCTAATGCTTTCTCATGCCTGAGATTCCATAACTTTCCTAGGCAACCTGTTCCACTGCTTTCCTAGCCTTGCACTTAGCAACTCTTCCTTCACTAGATTTATTATGTCTTCTTGAGATTAGAAACTTAGAAACCAGTCACACCATTTTGGCCCAGAGTCATACTCTAGTCGTTGATACTTTTTCTTCCATGAATTTGTATGAATTCTACTATAGACATGTGAGAAGTGTCCATAGTCTCCTGTGTCAATTTAATTGCACTCAACCTGCTACCTGAGTAAAACGAAACTTTCACATAGTACTTAAATCTCATTCCACATCTTTTTTTGGGAAGACACAGTGAATGTTTTCTTCCATGTTGCTTTCTCTTTGCTTCCCCTTTGCTTTATAGACCTTTGCCCTCTGTGCACTTGTATTGCTGCACTGTTCTTTGCAAAGAAGAATGTCTCTTTAATCCTCCTACTTAGACTTTTCTATATGTTGTTCTGACTCTTCAGTAATACTTCCTTTCTTTTAAGATGCCTTTGTTTTCAGAATCCAGCTGTCTTAGTCCATATTGTACTATAACAATATAGGAAGAGCTTTATGATGTTGATTGTATGCAAGAGAGTATTTTGGGGGGGCAAATGTTTACGGGTTAATCAAAGGTGTAAAGGCAGATAGTCAGTGACATAATCTGGAAAAGAAGTCTAAAAAGAAATAATTCACATGGATCATACTGGATCTAATACGGAGTCAGTGATGCGGCTGTTAGTGATAAAGAAAACAGAGCCACTACTCTGAGCAGCAGGGTGCTGAGTGTCTTCACAAGCAGTTCCTTTGTTTTCAGAGAGCAGTTTTTGTGCTGTAGATTATGAAACTGTTCAGCTTAGGTATTTTGTGTGTTCACATTCTTCATTGTTCAATAGGTTCCTGGGAAAGGGTTGAGCAGTGGGATGGCAAAATGTTCTGACCATATTGAGCTATTTAAGGTAATAAATATTAAAGCTGGTGGCAGAGACTGCAGAAGAACCTCATACACAGTGAGGGGGTAATAAAATGGCAGATTAAATTCTCTGCAGCTAAATGAAAAGCAGTGGCTGTGAGGGGGAATAACCCCTAAAATTTGCATGCAAAATGATGGGCTCTGAAATACGAAAGTAGTAGGATATCATCTCAGTAGAAGCAAACCAAAAGGAAAAAAAGAACAAAGAACATGTTTAGAAATTATTTAAAAAGAAAAAAAAAGAAACAACCAGCCACTTCAAGGCAGAAAATACAGTCATTCCTCCAAAGATGTTCACTAGTGCAGATGCATAATAGATGCTGTGTTTTGTTGTTTCACTTGTCTTAAAAAGTGCAAGAAGAATGTCAAGTGATATGCAATATCTTCCATACAAAGAACAATGAAGCAAACAAGTACGCTTAGTCTGGAAAAGAGATCATGATAGGAAAGGTGAGGGAGATAAGAAATATAAAATGGCATAGAGAAAATGAACATTTCCACTTTGTGAAATACAAGAGCTCAAGAGCATTCAATGTAATGTGCAGGTGGCAAATTCTAAACAAAAGGAGGTGGCTTTTTACTCAGTGTGTAGTTAATACATTTTACTTTCTGGCACAAGATGTTGCAGATGGTAAAAGATATATTGGTGCAAAAAGCCATTGCACATTGTCATGGAAGACAACTTTCCACTGAGGCTGTTAAGTGCAAAGACGTAATCTCTGGCTCAGGCAATCTCTGAACCACAAATTGCAAAAAGGCTGAGAGACTTTATATTCAAGAAGCATCTTTATATATTTGCCCTGTTTTTCAACTCTTCCCTAGAAATCTGTTACTGGTAGCTGTTGGCAACACTATACTGGACTAGATGGATCTGAAATTTAAAATACTACTTCCAGTGTTATATTCTTTTTACATAGAAGTACATCAATAAAAAAGTTGGAATGAGTTTATAGTTAGAGTTTCTAAGAATAGAAGGTGAAAGGAAGGAATGTAAAGGGCAGGCTGTCTTGGGAGACAAGATTATGTCAGCAATATCCCTGAAAAATGTGGAATGGACAGGCAAAGAAAACAAAGTTAAAGAAACTTGAAATACAAAAAAAAATCTCTCTTGTAAAATGGTTTTGCAAAACGGTTTAAATAAAATCCTTTTGGCTTTCATTAATTGTATTTCCAGTAGTGTGCTTAATGCAGTTCCAAATGTCTTTAAACTGAAGTGAAAAAAAAAAAAGGAATGACATCAACCAAAAGTACATTCTTACTAATGCTGAGGGAGTAGGCAATTTAATGTATTATTATGAGAATTCATTGATAACAATGGGTGATTATGACCACTGTTGTCTAATGAATGTTAATTATTATCACAAAGAATGAAACTAATGATAGTTCCCTTTCTCAATTAGAGTTAGCTGCGAAGGAACATGAATATTAGCTATACAGGCTATTTCCTCTAAGTCAAAGGTCATGTAGACTGACAGGAAAATTATATTTGGCTTGGAACTACAAAGAATAAAATTAAAAAGCAAATGAGTGCTCCCGAAAAGTTATTTTCAAGATGTTCCTCCCTACTAGATCTTATTTTGGGCTACATATACTTAAATGCAGGGGTATAACTTGCCATGGTAACTGTTTGAGGATATCGTAGATATAACAAGGTATGAATGCTGGAAGTCCTAAGGCTGTGATAGGAATAATAACTTGGATGTTTTCTTTTTCTGATCTGTCTGACACAGACAGGAGAATGGACCAGATGACATAATTCGTTCTAAAAATCATCTCTTCCTTCATTGCTTTCTGGTCCTCATGCTTTTTCCTGCCTGGTGGCAAATTGGTTGGCAACAAATAAAAATTATAGCGTCTGTTTCTACTATCTGGGGTTTTTTTAATGTCACCCACACACATGCCCATGTATCTACCCACCCACTTATATTATCTTGCACAGAGCACATTCATTCTCTCACTCACATAATTTATTCATCCCAACATGCACTAGTGCAGTTGCCATTTAGCTTTTATTTACTGGTAGCCGTAGCAATATTTAAACAGATGTCTATTTACATCTGAGGAGCACATCAATTCTTGCCTGTATGCGTGCACAGCCTTAGTTATAGTTTCTAATGTCAGTATCTTCCTTTGTTTGCATAGTCATCAACAGTATTTCAGTTCAGAGTTGAATAATACGACATTTCCTATTTGAATAATAGGGTGTCTTAGAATGTAAAATACTTGGAAATGTTTAAAAATAAAATGCCTTATCTAAACAGAACATTAAGTTACCAGGTCTATCCTGATTCTTGAAGAACTCCTTTTGTTTCTATTATGAGGGACTAGTTGAACTTCAATTTTCATGAGCTTTCTCTAGGTTTTTTGATCAGAGGTTTGTTTCTACCCAAAAAAATGGATTTTTTTGCAATAAAAACCTGAGCTGCGGTGATTATGATTTAAAAAAAAAGTATATATTCAAGGATCCACATAGTTTCTGAACAGGTTCTCCAAATATGAATGTTATCCTATAACATCTTTCCTTATTCTCAGAAAATGATACTCCAACATTGAAAGGAATCAGTTTTTCCAAACAGAAAGTTCTCAAAGACAGAAGATATGTGGTCTAATCAGTATGCCATTCTTTTTGCCTCTATTTTCTCAGGTTTGTATCTTTGAAATGAGAGCAGTAGACCTTGGACAGTTAAGCAAAGTGCTTGTTGAGCACCATAATGTGGGTTATGGAGCCGGATGGTACCTCGACCAAATTGTCATCCATGAATCAGGCAAGACTGAAGAACAATATGTATTTCTTTGCCAGCAATGGTTAGACAGTGGAGTTGGTGATGCACAGATGGAACGAACATTGAAACTTCTTGGAAAAGTCAGGCACGGAATGCTGACAGGAAAGATTTATGGTAAGGTCCAAAATCCTCAAAACTCCTTTCAGCTCTTGTTTTAATTGTAATCCATAATATTTCCTTGGTTATTTTTAAGGCTAAAACAAAACTACAGAAATAATATAGCTTGAATGTGAACCACCTCTCTCACAACAATTGTCTCTCCAAACACTTTCCTGAGATGGTAAATACAATTACAATGCTCAGGGAAGAAAAACTAGAGCATAAGGGAGATATTAAGTGACAGAGGCAATGAAGGTACTATGATTTTAGTTGAGGTTAGAAAAAAAGCTGAAGCAGAAAGAAGTAGGTTGTTCCATATGGCATTCAATGCAGAGCAGAAGGCTCCTGCAACAGTGATGAAATCACAAGAAGAGATACAAAAACTCTTTTAGCAGAATGCGATTTTCCCTTATGTTCATATATTTGCAGAAAGCATTTGCTTTTATTTGCAGTTTTCTTTTTTACTTATATCAATGGCACAAGTTCTTGCAAACAGTTAGTTGACCTGAACTCAATATTCTATTCAAATTGTTTAATTAAAAAACAACCAAAATTCAAAAACAACTTGTAGACACTGTAAACGTGCTTTGTCAGAATACTGGATTTTTTAGCTCTTTCATGTGTCTTTTTTGAAGATGTATAAAATGCTGGTTTGGGTCCATTTATGAAAACTGAATCAGAACTGATAGACCAAGCTATGTAAAGTTAAACAAATCTGAAGATGTGAATTTGCATTCTATATCAGCCATTTTGTAAACCGATCTCTATTAACTTCCATGCTCCTGCATATTTCCTTTTATGTTCAGAGAATTTTATATTATACATAGTTACAGACAAAACTAATAGATTATATCCTGATATTTAGTCATCTATAGTTAGTCCACTTGTGAATACCTCATATAATCTAACAAAACAGAAATCATGTTACTGATGCAACAGAAAAACAGAAAGCAATGGAAATATAAGCATAGCATGAACAGCCAGAGTAGTGACAATTTCAGAACAATAAATCGCTGTATTTCACCACTGCAAGTATTCTAGGTCTCTATTAAGTAGATTTCATAGGTGTCCTACATAGTCCACAGAGTGAGGCAGGTGTCTCCTGAGGATAATTCAGAGCAGAAGCCCAAGGCTGGTCAAAGCCTGTCACATCTTTCCTTACTGATAATAAGGAAAACGAGAGAAATCTTGCATCCTTGTTTATGCACCTTGATTAATGTCTGAATATAGCTGTGTATAAACAATTTCCTTCCTTGGTTTCCTTCCTTACACACATACACACACACACACACACACATAGTCCTCAAAAATCTGAGTATAGACTTGCTAATAATTTCATATCTATGTTTATTGATACTCAGTGCTGTATCTAGTGAAAATAATTTTTGGTCTGGGTATATAACAGCTCCAGAAATAATATGACGAATAAGCAGAGAGCCAATGAAGAACTGATAAATAAAAGACAAATCAGCAAAGAGCAATATACCTCAGGGGTCAGAAACTATATGGATACAATGGAACTTACTAAATTTCAAGCTAAATCAGATATTGCAAAAGAAGTAAAACGAATAGTACTATAGTTCTTCAACCATTTACTTATGACAAGACCCTTCAAAGATTAATAACTAGTTAGGAACAATAGAGTTCAGACTGAAGATCATGTAGGTATAATCGCTAAAAAAATAGAATACCTTGTCTCTCTCTTCACTAAGGAACCATAAAGTTGGCCAGGGAAGCAAAAGCACAGTTACTAATGGGATGAGCTTATTGGAAATCAGAATATCTGAAACACAAACAGAACTTTGAGTTCCATTTACTCAAACAGTGACAATCAGGGTAGTTGTTAGTCCAGTGGCAGATCTAACAGCAAGGATTTAAAATCATTTTATGAAGACTTAACATCAGAAAACAAAATGCCTCTATCTAAAATATAAAAAGCATAATGTAGGTGAGTATATACCTACTAATTTGTTCACATGAAAACCTTTATAACACACTTTTGAAGAATAGTTGAGACAATAGAGGCAAATAGGAAATGAGAAGGAATGCACCATGACTTTACTAAAGATAGACTGTAAAACAAGATGATACTACAGAAATATTTAGCAGTAAGACAAATGTAATGACATTTAATCTGTCTAAATTCCTGCACTAAATTTTATTTTCATTATGGGAAATTATTAGTAATCACAAGAAAGTGAAAAGTAGTAGTAAAAGAAAGAGCTGGAGAAGAGAGAGTAAATATGTTAATGAAATCTTTTGGTGCGACAAAGCTGGGAGTGCTATCAGGACAATAAGAGGTTGTGTGATAAACTTTGAGAACTGAAGGAAAGGAACTATATTCGGTGGCAAACAGCTTTACAACTAGGCATAAGCTCAACTAGCTAGTTTAGTTCTCAATTCTGATACATGGTCCTAATTTCAATTGTTTTGGGTTTTTGTTAAGAATTTGGAGCCAAGTAGTAGCTAAGGGTCCAAAAACTGCATTTTATCTGTATTGCCTTTTTTTGCAACGCTTTCTGCTACACAAATTCATGAGCAGGAGGACTATGAGAAATACCTGGGTTTGTTATAGGATCACAGGATAATTTTGAGGCAGTTATGTGACATGGCTATGGGGTTACTTTGACCCCACAGTGTATTACCCCACAGGCATTATCAATCAAAATCAAAGTAGATTATTAGCTTTACAGAGAAACTGTGATATTTCACCAGCAATGCCATGTGTAATTGTGGCCATCTCTGTCCAGAAGGACTGGATCAAGCTGGAATAGTTGCAAAGAAGATATGATGACAGAAAATGGCAACTCTTTGTTGTGAAAGGGTATTGAAAAAAGTGACAGATTCAGAATAGCTAATGAAATGCTCAAAATGGACACAGTAGTGATCTATCAAATTAACGATGGCTTACACATCAAGGAGGGAAGAGAGTTGTTTAAGCCAAGAAAGTTGTCATAAAAATGAATGGGTTCCAGCAGTCCATTAATGTCTTTCTGAAAAGATTTCTGAGAAAGCAACAAAGATAGATTAGACTTTTAGCATTGCACTCTGTGTTGGGTTGACCCTGGCTGGACACCAGATGCCCATCAAGGCTGCTCATCATTCCCCTCCTCAGCTGGACAGGAGAGAATAAAACATAACAAAAGGCTCATGAGTCAAGATAAGCACACAGAGAGATCACTCAGCAGTTAGTGCCATGGACAAAACAGCCTTGACTAGGGGGAATTAGTTAAATTTATCACCAATGAAATTAGAGTAGGATAATGAGAACTAAACCCAAATCTAGAAATGTCTTTCCTCCTTCTTCCTGGGCTAAACTTTACTCCCAATTTTCTCTACTTCCTCCCATTCACTTGTGCAGGAAATGGAGGTTGCAGTCAATTTCTCACATTGTTTCTATTGGTCCTTCCTCTTCCACTCCAGCATGGGGTGACAAGAGATAGTCCTCCCTAAACTTCTCCAAGTGAGGCCTTCCAACGAGCTGCAGTTCTTCATGAACTGCTCCAGCATGAATTTCTTCCACAGGGTGTAATCCTTCAGGAGTAAATCTGCTCCAGCACAGGCTCTCTCCACAGGGACATAAGTCTGCTGCAAGTGTGCTCCAGTTCAGGCTTCCATGAGGTGACATCCTCCTTTGGACATCCACCTTGTCCACCATGGGATCCCTCATGGGCTGCAGATGGATCTCTGCTCCACCATGGACCTCCATGGGCCACGGGGACACAGCTGGACACACCATGGTCTTCACCATGGGCTGCAGGAGAATCTCTGCTCACCCTCCTCCTGCACTGACCTGAGGACTGCAGAATTGCTTCTCTTGCATTTTATCACTCTTTTCCAGCTGAAATTGTGCAAGTCTTTCCACCCCACTTTCTTAAATACCTTATCCCAGAGCTGCTCTCACCATCACTGATGGCTCAGCCTTGGCCAGGGGTGGGTCTGTCTTGGACCCTCTCTGGCACTGTCTCTGCTGGACAAGGGGGGCTTCTAATGGCTTATTACAGAAGCCCCTCCTGAAGCCCCCCTGCCACCAAAACGTGGCCATGCAAGCCCAATATACTGCTTTATACTTAACTAAGGAGATGGAAAGAAGCTGCTTTTAAATTGATTCTTAACAAATTTATCAGAAATGATACAATTTAATTAATGTGTTATAGCAGTGTATGGTATTGTACTATCCAACAGACATAGTCCTTCCATTCCTGGGCAGCTATATATTGATAATTTAAGGCCAAGTATTTCAGTACTAAAGGGCTAAAATATCCTAGATTATGTCACATGGGATGTGATAAATTTTCATTTTACTTCCATTTTTTCACAGATATCATTGGTTTCATTTACATTTAATGTTCAGAGGCATGAAAATAGATTTAAGACTATTCATGAAGTCGTAACACTGAAATTATTTTAGATGATTTTACAGATAGTGAGTGCTAAATTTTTATGTCAACAAGTGCTGGATTTATGGCACAGATTCTTACCCAATCTAAAGCAATAAATCTTTATTTGCATTAGTTATAGTAGGAGACAAAGAATTTCCTGTTGTGGTTAGGAAGCTGAGGTGACTGAACATTCTGAAGCTGAGGTATATGGACACAAACTCAGAGAGTCTCTGATTATTTCACTCAAAGTAAAACAACCTGTTTATAAAATAGCTATTTGAAATTGTCAGATCCATACTTTGTCTCCCTTTGCATAAACAGAGCTAAGTCATGTTATTAAAAAATTCTGCTCAATTCTGCAGTTTCCTGGGTGACTAAAAATTCTGATTTTCACAATTTGAAAAAATTGAAACCATGACTTTGATAACCCTGAATTTTCCACATACTTTATTAACATGAGTTAAAATATTAAAGCTAGCTAAATCAGTGACTTTTTTTGGATGGGTTACTGATCCTCAAAATTATCTTATTGATTGCAATTTTAAACAAATATCTGTTCCATATAAAGTTGCAAAAGTTACTTAGGAGCCTACCTGGCATCAGTCTGTTGTCCTTCTGAGCCTTCAGGGATCTGTCAATTCATCTACAATTCTTAAGTGACTAAATGCTTCAAAAAGACCTAGTAAAAATTCTCCTGGAGTGTTTCCTGAGTCCCTAAAGTAGACAAATCTCTGTGATGCTATGTAGGACTATTTTTAATCTTTCAGCACACATTACTTCTTCATAGAAGAAATGGATAAAGTTTGGTACTTTGCTGTCATGTTAACTGTGGTGAGGTGTGATAAAAATATCACATTTCAAGCTCTGAACCAGTTTATCTCATTACCATCTCCTTATAGCACGTATGGAGCATATTTTAACATGTTCATTTAAGCAAATCCCTGAAAAGTTAAAATTAAAATATAGCCTTCCCTGGCCAAGGGCAAACCTGATAATCAGTAGTATCTTGTAAAAAACATGCTGCTTTTGAATGGTGACTAATGATAAAAAACATTTAAAATCATGAGGAGATTTTCATGGCTCTTCACAAGTCTCTAATGTGGAACTGGCAGTCTCAGCTGCAGACTGCTCTTGCACTGGCCCATCTCTAAAGAATCAGCTACCACTATGGAAGGAATGGTGTCCAAATTTGCTTCTGACTAAATCAATGATAGTGAGTGAACCTGTTGTGTGACAATATTTGAGCTCAGTAAAAAGGTGGGAATGGATTGCTAGTCACTCACTAACTCAGAGTGTTACAAACTGATGCATTGTTTTGGATGTTCAGCAAACCCATTAATTTTTTTCTGCTGTGTTATTTCAACAGGGACTTGGGATGTCCACGTCACAACTAGTGATATTTCTTCTAGTTCCATGAACCCTAAAATGTCTCTAACAGTATGTGATGAAAAAGGAACTTGTACTTCAGTCATATTCCCCAAAGGATCTCTTAAAAAAGAGCAGATTTACGAGGCTTCTATTGAACTAACTAAGAAATTTAATACTATATTCAAAGTTCGCCTAGAAATTGAAGAAGTTGAAGAAGGAGAGACTTGGCATTGCCGTGAGGTAAAATCTAAAACGTAAAGCAATTATTTATTGTGTGTCTTTTTTTCCATATTCTGTTGTTATTTCTTCCAGTTTTCAGTCCTGTCTGAGATTGCTAAACTTTTAATTTACAGAAACTGCAACACCTGTAGAGTGCTAACTTCAGAGACTGCTCAAAATAGATAGATAGGGATAACAAAACTCTTGTAAACTTGGCTTTTTTTTCTGGAGACCCATACATACAGATGTGCCATCATCTGTAGCATATCCAGTGATGTCTTTTCAGAACCGTACTCACTGGCATACATTGCAGTATTTACATAACTCCAAATTGGCTGTTACATGTTGTAGATTCGGTGATCCATGGCAAATAATTAAGGCAGACACTAGACATGCATTTTGATGAAACTATCTGCCTTTTATGTTGGCATGTGAAAAAAGAAGTGAATAGCAAAAGTGACAATCCTTCTTCTGATATCCAGCTAAAATCTGACTTCACACTGAAATTGCCATGGCATTTCACTATACAGAAAAATATCTTCATCTTCTTACACCGGCAAAATAAAAACAATTCCAAAGGAAAGAGTCATCTTCTTTAAAATTGCAGACACACTTTTGTCCATTAATATTTCTGGATTTTTCTTATTAAAAACTAGAGAAATTTTTTTTTCCTTTCCAATACATGGTATTACTGAGCTGAACTCCCTGACATTTAAATGGTAGGCAGGTTGTTAATTTCATCTTCATAGCCAGATGAAACAGTCATCCAACAAATCTATCAAAATTAAGACTGCTTCTGAAGTATGTTAGGAGACAGTAAATCACAGAAAAAATTTCAGAACAGAAACTTGGCAGTTGAAAACAGTGACATCTATTAGTCTGCTTTACTTCATTAGCTCAGAACAATCACTCAAAGCTCAGTTTAAAAGAAATCAGCATAATTTATATAAATAAGGAAAAGATGCACATTTACTTAGGTAGGAAGAGGTAGAGAAAGAAATTATAAATTTCCTTGCTTTGGGATACATGTAAATTATTTGGGTTTTAGGAAAACATTTCCTCTTATTGCATGTTTTTATAACAGAACTGGCTGACTCCTTGTTTGAAATAACAAGGTTGGTATAGGAGGTCGTGGATAATATCTGTTATTAAAGACAGCTTAGCAGTGTGTTCACACTGCTGGTTAGAATCAGCATGGTCATTTCTATGCTATTTTGTTTTGATTTTACAAGATTGCACCTCCAGAGAGTCTGAGATTTCCCCTTCTCCAAAAGTAAATGCAGGTGTAGTTGGTTGAATTCTGTATTTAGATTCAGACTTCATTCTTATAGCCATAACTACAAAATAATTATCCTGCTTTTTTGAGGAAATTGAAATCGTTATAAAATAATGCCTAGAACAAAATTAATTAAGGTATGACTTATTTCTGCACAATGTAATAGCTAGCAGCTTCATTCTTGTTTCTTTCACTTCTTGAAGAAATAAAATACAGTAAATGAAATCTGAGTTTCAATAAACTGTTCAGGAATGTAGATATTATTATGAAAGGCAAATTGTCCTAGCATTATACTTTACAGTGCATTTAAAAAACTCTTTTCAGTGTGTCTGTCATAATGAAAAGTACTAAGAGTCTTTTGAAGAAAAAATAATGCTACCATCTCCCAGTGACAATTCCTAACCAAAGTTGGTTTTGCTTACTGGCTTAAAGGTTTGGACATTTTAGTGAGTTAGGTCACGAAGACTTGAATGAGTGAATTTTATGTGCCCTTTTCAAAGCAGGGTTACTTCCTACAAAGTATTCTCAAATATGTTGTCTGGTCTAGGTTTAAATAGTTTACAAAATGGGAATTTATCTCAGTGTATCTGGTAGTACCATAGTGTAAGACATGTCATTATTAAAATATTTTTTCTTATAGGAAGAATAAGCTACTTAGCTCTGGATCACCATTTTCTTAGTTTATACACAGAATTTCCTAGACATTGAAATTAGTATCAAACTTTATATATTCAAGTGATATATATGTACTGATATATATATACACGTCAGAAAGCATTCTTAATTTCTGTATTTCAGTTTTCCCTTCTTTTTCTTTCTCCTGTTACTTAGAATTAGAAAACATTCTGCACTGAAATATACTGTGGCATATTGACATTTCTCACAAGCTGAAATGTGCCCATATTAACACTTCTTTTTCTTCCATATGCTGGATGAATAGGTTACATAAAGGAAACTTTTTGAACAATTTCAAATATTTTTTTCCTTCACTGCAGTCTCTGCAGCAATAATGTTGACAACATTTTAATTACCTTTAATTGGGAAAGATATTTATTCCTTCTCATTTAAAAGGCTGTTTTCAAAAACATTTTAGAAAAAATGATTTCCTCTTATTTTTAAATTTTGAGATGATGTGTCATAGCTGCTTAATAGTTTGTCTTTAGCAGTAGTTTGCATTAGAGTGCAACAGATACTGAAGTTATTTCTTTTTATCTCTTTGCTAAGGTAAAGCTTCAACACAGAGAAACTAAAAATATTCTAGAATTCCCATTTTCTCATAACTTTGCTGATGAAGAAGGAGGAAGAGTGGCTGAGCTTCCAGTTCTCATGACTGGGTCTCCTTTTCCAGCAGGTTTGTCACAAATTGGAAACACTGAGAGAGATTTGGTCAGTGACAGAAAATGTCCAATTTTCAGAGCAGTCCAAAGGATTTCGCATATATTTTCTGTTCATTTCTGCCTGGTGATATATGGCTAGGTCCAGTCTACTCCAGTGTTTAAAACCAATATCTTAGATCCTAAAACAGAATTGTGCACTCAAGTCTGATTGGTATCAGTTTGTGGCACATAAAAGAGCAAGCGTATGGCGCTGAAACTATTAAAAGGGTTTTGAACAGTACTCAGAGTTCAGCTTTTACTCAGTAATATGATCTGGGTCTCTCACAGACTGAGCAAGGGAAATACAGAGGAAGTAACTCTTGTCCTGTAATTTCAGACAAGAAGGAAATCCATGCCCCCCCCAGCCCAAACAGATCTCTTGTTGTTTGTGCTCCTAGAATTTCAGGCATTCTTTGTCTGTTACCTAGCAGTTGCATGTCATTGAACTCCATCTCACAACAGAGTTGTGCCTTGGTCCCCTCAAGACTGGATAGTTTTAGTTTGTTCTGTGTTTTTTATGAGGTTCTACAACCAATGTTAGAGAAGAAGGTAAGAGCTCTTATCCTAAATGAATATTCTGTCATGATAATATCCTAGGCTACACCAGAGGTTAAGGGTTTAGATCAAGCACAGAAGTAATCTGTATTTCTTGCCTCTTTTGTTGTGCTTTCAAAGTCAGTATCAAACAAAGCACTTAGGCAGAATATTCTTGAACATGAATTTGAGAAAGTATTGATGGGAAATTCACTGGTAAAGTTCTTCACTTTTAAATACTTCTGAGATTTATTTCTTTCTGGAAGAACACAGATATTGAAATCTTTAAATTTATTCTCCTTTTTCTGAGGAGCATTTAACATGAGGACAGGCACATTTTCTTTACCTCTCCCCACATATTTTTCTCATTTTCAGTTGATTTTAGGGACGTTTTAGGGATGTGATTTCTTTCTTATTTTAGGGGCCATATCATCAGTGTATTATGCATTTCCCTGGGAGTACAAACAGGTATTTTGCATAAGCAGCCTTTCAAGGAGTGCTCAGTTGATGGATTGTGTGTTCATATGGTGTGTTCTCTCACGTCATCTCTTCTCCTGATGCCAGTAACTTCAACTGGCACAGTGCAGAGTGAACAGCCACTGACTGGACCATGATCCAGAGAAAATACAAAAGTTGCTTTCTTCCTGACAGAGTCCAGCTTCGTTTGAACTCCATGAGGCTCTGACCATAGATTACTTGTTGAGTGATTTAGTACCATCCATAGCCTAGAAACTTTTTCATTGGAGTGTTAGGTATTTAAATGCATACAAGTAGTGATAGAGTATTGTTTACATGTTTTTACACCAATTTTTTATGTGTGTTTTTAATTTTTTTTTCTTCTGCCAGTGTTTCAGGCCCACTCAAATTATTTACCTTATTAAATTCTAATTACAGTACATCTATGTGCTTTTCCAAGCATTACAATGTATTTTGGTCTTCTGATCACTCCAGATAGGATGAAAAATGAAAACATAACAGTAGTAATTTATTAAATAACATATGATTTAACTGGTTTAGGTTTGGTAAACGTTTGATCTCCTTTTCCCCACAGTGAAAATCTATGTCCTCTACATCACTACGGGAGCTATCCCTGGCTCAGGAACAGATGCAGATGTGTCTGTCATGCTGCAAGGCTCCTTGGGAGATACTGGCAGAAGAAAGCTAATTAGAAAAGGAGATGAAAATTTCTCTAAAGGAAAGGTATGAGCTCTGAAAAATATTTTTCACTTTTAGAACCCAGTCTAATTCATGTGGATTTAGTGGGAATAGAGAAGTCTACAAGGTCCAGTTTATAAAGCTCTGTGATTGTTAAGTGTGTGTGCCTATCAATATCTCTACCTTGTGTGGGAAATACCAACCCTTATGTAGCTAGCAATACTGACAGGTAATAAAGTGACTATATCAAGTGCTTTTATATTCAATTTTGCAAATATTGAAAGTTTTCAGTGACATGCCATTGTTTTTCCAGCATATTTGCTTCGCAATACAACTATGAAAAGACTCCATTTTCTTTCAAGACATCTTTTCTTCCCATGCCATTCTTCAGAGTATGGCATCTTTCCCTGATTTCTGCTCTCTACCCTTCAGTCTGGCTCTTGGCTTTTCTCCAGACTGTCAGACACTACCCTCCATAGTTTTCTTAGGTGTACCAGAAGGGCTTTTCATTCACTGTGTGGGAGTTTGTCTTGTAGCTCATAGACACAGACCAGTCAAAGTTCCAATATTACTGCCAGAGATGCATTTCTTTGATGACTTGTCAGTTTAAGCAGAAATTGGAGGGAATTTAGGTACTGGATGTGCTGCAGAAATATGGGTAGATTTACAGCAAGATGCATGCCTTGGACAAAGAACCATGCGCTTGTTGGAAGGTCTGGACAGAGGGAGTAAAATTTTCAGCTGAAAAGATAGCAAAGTATTTTAAACATGGAATAAACAAATTACTTGTATTTACTCTGGCTCTTTTTTGAAAATAAATTTGAGGATTGAAACAATTTTATAAAGATTCTGAAACAAACATCTGTTATAGAAAATTTGGGTTGGCGTAGTTAAAGTTTAGGAAAAAATCCATCAGTGTTTTGCAACCAGTAAGTATTTTCTTCTATTGGTGCTGGCTGCCAAAAAAAATGAGTTTCTCTAAGGCTGCAAGCTTCCAAATCAGCCTGGACTGATAGCCAAAGCAGAGACATGGTATGTGTGATTAGGAGGAGCTCAACTCCTAACTATCCCTAGCCTCATCAATTCAGTGGGAACTGAAAGTGGGTATTATACTGCTGGATTTCACCTACTTGAAATACTTATTCACAAAAAACATTGGCGAGTTTAAATCTTTATTTTTAAGGGATTAAATATTGTGGGTAAGGTAACTCAGTTTTGATAAAGTTGCATTTTTCTTCCTTATGCTGAAGTTCAGATTATAGTTTACTGATAAACTGATTTAACTGAATTTTAGAGCTGCAGTTCTTTGTCCACATGAAGTAAAGTTAGTTTAATATAAGTTTTATTGAATTTCTCCCTAAATCATAGTCCCAAAAGTCACCAATCTGATTTCTACACTGGTAGTTTTTAATGAAGAGGCACCAGGAACGCATATCTAGAAATGTTGACCAAGAAAGCAGAAGTGAACTACAAAGATTTATAATATGAAGGATAATTTTATGGTATTTGCATCTACTTCATTTTAGCTCACAATTTTTCTCTCTTACAGAGTAAGATGCAGATCTGGCATGTAGCCATCTCTTCATTATTTATTTGACATTTTATAGGAGCAGTGTCCTTATATTTCTAAATGTAGATATCAGCACAGGAGTATTTTAGGGCTCTAAAAAGAAATTGCTGGTAGATAAGTAATAGAGAAACATAAAAGTCTTGCTTCACTCTTTGTTCAGTGAAAATAAAGGTATTTGGTTAATTGAAAAGTATAAAATTATTCTGCAAGAAAGGCTTCTGCCTATGCAGCAGTATTTTTTCATTATATGTTTTGGAAATTTCCCAATGTTTTCTTCCCTTTAAAAGTAATCTCCAAAAAGACTCTCAAGTGTGGAATGTCTCTTTCTATACCAGCCCAACCACATATTGTGCCAAGCACCCCTGCAGTCAGAGAGTCTGCACTTGGTGGTTCAGGGGATTTGGAGTATAACAGGCAGAATTTGCATTCAGAATCTTAACAGTTGTTCTGACATTTTAAAATGTGCTTTTCCTTGCAATAATTTTTCCCCTGACTATACAGTAACAGCTAGTGAACTGGAACAGTGTTTCTGTTGGAAATCACGTCAAAATATGGTGTTAGTCTCACAGAATGTCAGGGCTGTTGCAAGCAACAGTTTAGCTATGCAGAAATACATAGAAATGTTTAAATATTCAGCAAAGTTTGCAGTATAGATTGGAGATATTCTTCTCTCATTTAACAGGGTTTTTTTATTTTCATGAGCTAAGTTACATGATAGTAAAAGAGTGAATTAGCATCTTATATCTGAAAAGTTGCTTTGTGCCTTTCCAAAGTCCTTGCACCTGTGAGACCATCAGAGAACTTGTAGGTAAAGTCATGTGCATGATATTATTAATTCACCAGTAAGGGCCTGTAGCTCACCCCTGAGAGAGCAGTGCTGTGACCGGGAGAGCTGAGCTTCTGGTGATCTACTCATACAAATGAGTGTGAGGATTTTTCCTGCAAGAGCCATAGGCTTTCAAATTGCTATGACATTGATGCCTTGTTTGATGTTCTCCTAAAAACTGTGAGGACAGACAACACAATCTCAGCACACATCTTCATGCAGTTCACTTTTCATGAAATCCTAATAATATTTATTCATGCTCCATGAGTCAGTTTAAGTCTGATAGATGTTACTTGCTTATGAGCATTTTCTTGAAGTAAGTATACTCAGTGCAGACATTCTGTGAAAACCAGGGCCCAGTTGTGTAAAATCCTTACAGTATCTCCATGTTGCTTCTGACATACAACTTTTTCAGTAAATGTAATTCTTGATGCTTCTGTATATGGCCCTTGATAGACTTGCTGTATGCTCTGTCATATGGCTGTGGGTTATCAAAAAATTTCCTCTTTGAGAATGTGGGCTTTTTTTCAGATCACTGCCACCAAAACCAGTAAAGTATACTGAATATGTTATGACTGATTTTTAAGTATATTAATCAAGGTTTTATGAAACTGGCCAGTATTTTTAGTACTTCACGTTATGGAAGTACTAAATTCTCTGAAAATTTTTGCTTCATTCTATTAGTATTTGAAAAGATATATTCTTTATCCTGCCCTATATTTAGACATCAACTGCTCAGGTTGGTGCCATGGTAACTGCAGCACATACAAAAATTTTCAGTGAGAGGTGACTGTTGGTGTTCAGTTTCAGTACTCACTTACAGATTAAGCACTGACAATTAAAAAAAAATACTTTAGGGAAAAGTCCAGGTGTGTCAGGATACACTAAGTATCAGAAAGTGGGGCAGGGTCCTGAGATTGCCAGTAGGAAGCCAGTAATGCCCAGATCCCACCACACTGACAGTGCTGCTATTTTGTGACTGCAGATAAACCTTCTCTTATGGGATAGCATGCCTGACATGATTAAAGAGTTGCCAAATGTCATTGATCCAAATGTATTAATCACAGTGGTAGGCTGTTGGCTAAGTTACTGTTATACAGAAATGAACACTAAATCAATGTGGTCATCATAGAATTATAGAATTGTTTAGGTTGGAAAAGACCTTTAAGATCATGTCCAACCATTGACCTAGCACTGCTAAGTCCATTACTGAACCTTGTCCCTGACTACATGTTTCCCTGGGCAGCCTGTTGCAATGCTTGACAACAATCCAATCTAAACCTCCCCAGGTTAAACTCAAATTAATTTCCTTTTATGCTGTGGCTTTCTACCTGAGAGAAGAGACCAACCCCAACCTGGTTGCAACAAACCTCCCTCCTTTCAGGCAGTTGTGGGAAGCAATCACATCTCCCCTGAGCCTCCTTTTCTCCAGGCTAAAAACCCCCAGTTCAGTCAGCACTTCTCACAGACTATCTGCTCCAGACCCTTCACCAGTTCTGTTGCCCTTCTCTGGACACACTCAGCACCTCGATGTCTTTCTTGTAGAGAGGGACCCAAACCTGAACACGGGATTCAAGGTGTGGCCTCATCAGTGCTGAGCACAGGGTGATAATCACTGCCCTGGTCCTGCTGGCCACACTATTTCTGATACAGGCCAGGATGCCTTTGGCCACCTGGGCACACACTGGCTCATCTGCAGCCAGCTGTCAAACAGAGCCTCCAGGTCCTTTTCCACCAGGAAGCTTTCCAGCCACTCTTGTTCAGTCCTGTAGCATTGCATGGGGTTTTTGAGACCCAAGTACAAAACCTGGCACTTGGCCTCACTGTGCCTCATGCAGCTGGCCTTGGCCCATTGATCCGCCCTGTCCAGACCCCTTGGCAGAACCTTTCTGCCCTCCAGCAGATCAACATTCCCACCTGACTTGGTGGTGTCCGCAAACTGACTGAGGGTGGCCTTGATCCCGTCATCCAAATCATAAATAAAGATATTAAACAGGCCTGCTGCTGAGCCCTGGGGAACACAGGTAGTGACCAGCCACCATCTGGATGTAACTCTATTCACCACCACCACTGCCTGGGCCTGGCCATCCAGCCAGATTTTATCCAGGGAAGAGTGCACCCATCCAAGCCATGAGCAGCCATTTTCTCCAGGACAATGCTGTGGGAAATTGTATCAAAGGCTTTCTTAAAGTCCAGCTAAACAACTTTCACAGCTTTTCCTTCATTCACTAAGCAGGTCACTCTGGCATAGAAGAAGATCACGTTGGTCAAGCAGGACCTGCCTTTCATAAAGCCATGATGGCTGAGCCTGATCCCCTGATTGTCTCATGTGTGCTATGTGATGGTAGTCGAGGTGATCTGTGCCATGACCTTCCCTGGCACCTAGGTCAGGCCTGTAGTTCCCTGGATCCTCTTTTTGACCCTTCTTGTAGATGGATATTATATTGCTAATTTCCAGTCAATTGGGACCTGTCCAGTTAGTTGGGACTGCTGTAAACGATGGAAAGAGGCTTGGTGAGCGCTCCTGCCAGCTCCCCAGCTACCCTTGATACCTCTAAGTTTTAGGTTTTCTGTTCTGTCCTGCTTGGATGTGCTTTTCCGTTGTGCTTGGGTGATGAAGACAAAACAGTCTGATTCCACCTAGGGACT